GAGCTATGGAAAAACTGTTGTACATGATCTTGTTTTTCACTGACTAGCTAAAACAAACACAAGCCCTGAGGAAAGTTGCTATCAGAAATGCCAGCCTCAGTGCCAGCTAAAGAGGCAGGTGTGGTTCTGATCCGGAGCCAGTGTCAAATGAAGGAGAAATACCTGTTAAAGCCAGCTGAGGAGAGACCAGAAACCTCCCAATGTCCCATAGCTGAAAATGTAAAATGCTTGTTCAAATCTCCCATTGCAAAAGCAAGAGACTTTGTTCAAACCTCCCGTGCAAGAATTTGTAAGCAAGTCTGGTAAAAGAGAACCAGTTGACTCTCAGACCCCAAAAGAACTATGGGAAATGACTGATATAAGGGAAATGCATTCTGGGAAAGGTAGTTTTTCCGCTAAAGATGGTGACATTGCCCTGAAACACTTTTGTCAGCTCGAAAATACGTTCATGGTAAACTTAAAATACAGCTTTTAAAAGAATAAGGAAAGTCGCCTAAGAGATTAAATGTCAGTTCCAATGAAAAATTGAAAGGATACGGAACTAGGTGCTTCGCGTTTTGGGGCTCGGTTGGTAAACTGCCTTATTTACCCTAATAGCTGTGCAAAGTTTTTAAGGTAGTTGGATGACAAAAAGCTACCTTTAAGAGCAAACAAGCTACTTTAAAATCCTTAAGAAAGAAAGAGAAAGCAGTTTATACACTGAACATTGTTTTAGATATGAAGAAACTTATGGGAAAATAAAGTTCTTTGCCTTTTGAACAAACAGCCTTCACTGAGTAATTCCTTTGCAAATCTAATAAGGAGACAAGGAAACAGCCATTCAAAAAATGACTGCTTTAGAGATGGGAAACTTCAGAAAAAGCTGTCTTAAAAATGGTTGCTTCACCTGAAAGTTCCTTATAAGAAATCAATGCTAAATATCACAGCGGATAATATCAGGAGTTAAAGCTAATGAAGTGAAAATACTAAGTCCTGAAAATGCTTTTTCTCAAAGTAAGCTAATGAAGGATATGTTTCATGAAAGAACATCTATGTTCTTGACTCCGTTGAATAGTAACAGTTTTGGTGAAAATATTGGAACTGACAATCAAGTCAAAATGTTTCAACAAATTCAAGATGCTGTTCACTAAAGAAAGCTGCCATGCATTGTGGGCCATATTAGAGCTCACTCCAATCTTCCTGGT